GATTTCTAAGTACATACAATGAAGTTGTAAACTTATTTAATCCTTAATGAAAATCTTAAAAAATATTGTGAAGAAATAATTTCTTTAGACCTTTGTGACTAATCCTTCTTACATTTCTCTTAACAACGTTAGGTTCTGAGTCAATAGAAAATATGTCTAAGCTTTGATATTTTCTATAACCTCCCCTCCTGCAAGACTTACTCAAGCTAACCTGAAACCTTCAGGTAAGTAAGTTTTTATTCAATACAGCATTAGATTAATTAATATTGCCCTCTAAATGTACTCTTTTAAAAAAGAAAACATTTCATTAATTAGAAAAAAATTTGTGCATAATTTCTTTTTTTTAAATTTTCAATAATGTTAATATTTAGTTGGAAAGATTTGTTTTCCCATTTCAAAAAATCACTTGAAATTAATTTACCTGAAACACAGAGCTTTACATGGGAATTAGCAGCTGATTTAAAAATGACTCTAAAAAGAGAATAAGAATGTATCCCTTATGGGACTGTTGCTTCTATTATATAAGCTGTGTCAGCTTCTGTAAGCCTATATGTGCTTAGATAACCATATTGAAAAGCTGTGAATATCAGAGGAGTCTGGCACTACAGATTTACTGTCTTGTCTTCCTTGCTGTTCCAAATGATGACCTGATCAAGTTCCGTCTGGATGTCTTGCCACAGGGTGAAAAAGGAAGAGAGAATAAATCACTCTTAGAATTAAGTACTTCTCTGAGGTATTCTAAAACCTTCCTAGTACTGATCCTATCATCCTCTCTTAGAAGTCATTCTATCTTTAAATGCTTTAAAGTGGACTACCATATTTAGATCCTGTATGAAACTGAACAGGCATACATTTCTAGCAAGAAAAGAAAGGAAACTGCATGTGTAACAAATCATATTTCTACACACACACACACGCAATACACTACGCACATATTTACAGAATATTCTCTCTGTATCTGAATTTTTATAAAGTAGGAAGACAAATGGATTTACTCCTGTTCCAGTCCCCGAATAACGGTTCCCTCTGAGAATAACCTGGGAGAAACAAGCTGTATGGTTTAGATGAGTAGATTAAAATATTCTAACAAAAGAAAGCCTAGTGCTCTCCAGAACTTCAGGTTAGTCAAGAGTCTCAGTGTCAGTTTGAGTTTGTTTACAAGTAGAAAATCTGCCAAATAGGGATGGTCACCAGAAATGAAGTAGTGAGAAATGAAGACTGGTAAGCAAATAAAGCTATTTCAATCAACTGAACAGAAAGACTTGGAATACAGAATGGGAAAGAATGAGTCCTGTTATCAGGACAATACTTTTAATTTCATATATATGTATGTGTGTGTATATATATATTCAATAGAAAATAAACTATTGGAGAGACAGTAAAATACTTCCAATTAATGGAAGTAGTGTAATGTTCAAACTTAAATCCCTTGAGGATTTTACTGTACTATTTTACTTAGCTTAATGTAATTTAAATTGTAAACAGAATGGTTTTGTAAGCCCCTAGAGAATTGTATTTTATTTATAATGTATTTCCTTTGAAGGTTATGGAAATCATGCTCTTCCTGAATTCTGTATCTCACATACCACCTATAGCTGCAAACTAGTCAGCCCTTACAAGTTAGACATGACCAGCCTGGTGAAGTACGTGACTAGAAAACGCAAGATTTTTTTGTTTGTTTGTTTTTATTGTCAAAGGAAATAGAAATATGTAATTGTGAAAACTAACAGTCTTCCTCCCCCCAAGAAAGATACTGAAAGATTTTCATTGCAAAAGTTGGAGTTTTTAGAGGGAATGGAATTCAGACATAACCACTCCACTTGAGTTTTTAATGCACATAAGGAAATAATTGTTTACGCTGGATCCTATAGGGAATTATATCAGAGAACAAATATATTTTGTACACTTCAGTTTAAATATCTAAATAGTTCTATCATTCATTTAAGTAACAAATCTACTCCTAGCATAAAATGTATGCTTTCTCTCAAGATACATATTACAAATGATCAGTTTGTGTCACCTTTTTTACTCCAAGGAATTCAACTACTCTATTTCAAAATAAATAAGTAAAGTTGAATGAATGAGCTGAACACTACTCTATGTCCTCCCTTCACTATCAGGAGCTACTGCTTAGACTTTGTTAAATAACTAGAAACAAATAAGAATTTGTCTGTAGAAAACTGATTTCTGCCATTTATCATCTGTTTTAAACATTATAGCGTTCAGGGCCTTGTGAATGACTCATTAACTCAACACATGACCCATAGATACACAATGGTTTAAACTGTGATCCTTCCTCTGAAATAATGCCAATCCAAGTCACTTCAAGGGGACTGTATAAACAGGAACTAAACAAGTAAGCACTGAAACATCCGGCTGATTGTACAACTGCTTACAGCATAAACTCGTGACAAGTGTATTCACAAATTACATACACTTTGTATTGGTTACTCCTTTTTGTAAAAATTTTTTTCTTCTAACCAATATCGATTTCTAAAACTAAGCAAACAAGTAAAAATACAACAATACAAGACATTTCCTCTGGTTCTTCTTAGACCAGACATGATGTAGTTTAGACTTGAGAGTTACCACAATTGTCTTAGACTTTGAACTTTGCATTAGTGAGTCATTTTGTACCAAACTTTGCAAACATCTATTTTTTTGCTAAAAGCTCCTAAAGCATAAGCATCACTTGTGTTAAATGACAAATGCATGTCACAGTGACCATTACCCTTGCATTCAAAGTAAGATTTTAGGATTCTGACAGCCCAAACAGCAGAGCTAATGCACCTTTGCTAAGCAAAACAATGCTGCTCCTCTCAAATAATATAATGCGTTCCGATGAACTGACAAACTCTGTTTAAAGCATTGCACACTTGTGCAATGCTTTACTCCACTTCCTTGGAGTAAAGAACATTATTTGATTATTTCTTCACATATGTAATCCCTTAAGAGGTAGCACAACAGCATAAACATAAAGCAATCCATTAGATATATTTACATGAATGGTTTTTGTTATTTTCAACTTAGTAGCAGGAAAAAAGAAAGCTATGTTGATATAGACTGGATTGGTGCTATAACACTTTATTATATGCTCACTGTTATCCCAGTGTCATATTATAGTCTAATTGACAAACATACTTACAAGGGGAAAGAGATGCGCTTTGTAACATTTGTAGAAATGAATTATATGACTTGGACTCTTTTCTTTTTACTTTTCTTTTAGGCTATGACTAAAGATAGTTAATTCCAATCCTTTTGGAACACTCTCAATTTCAGTAACAATTAAAACAATTCTTGTTGAATGGCAATTGTGCCTCTGAAACCAAAAGACAGCATTTGCCGCAGTCAGTATTCTCTACAGTATAATGAATGGAATTTCTTCCTGGCCCCTTAGCTACAACCCAAGGAAGATTTTGGGTACTCCAACCAAACAGCATAGATTTCTTTTCCATCTAGAGCTAGCAACTGACTTACAAATACTGACAATTTCTATTTAACTACTTAAACAGAAAACATATGTGTTTTCAGGATTTTATTCACAAAGACTAACCTGAAAGAAAAAGAAGCTACAAGCCTTTACCATACTCAAAATCTGTGAAATAAAAAAATCAAACTAAAGCTGGAAAATGGCCAACACAACACAAAAGGCAAAAACAACTATAATCAAGTATGGTCAACTGTATAATGTTCAAGACACTATGTACTAATTTCAGAATATGAAATTAGAGGTTTGCCTTGATTTAGGATGTACATGAGCTGCTTGTTGCTAGCTTCAAAGATATAAAGATTCAACCAGCATGCTATGTAAATGATTTCCTGAAATGACTTGATTAGAAGGTTTGTTTAGACAAGTAGAACTGACTGATTGAAATCTCAACACACTCCAGCAACAATCGCAATAAACTGTCAGTGCCACAGTCCCTCAAGTGAGTATGTGAGAAGAGCAGACTTCCATGTAAGGGATGTGCCTACAAATGTAAATACAGACCATATAGATCACTGTTACACAAGTATGTTTCATTTCTACAAAACGAAGAACAAAGTGCAAATCAGCATGGAAGTTTTACAGAAATGTAAGAAATGTAGAAAAACACCAACTACGTCAGATATGAATGTTGCAGCCTACAAATTCATAATTAATGTAAATAGTTTTAAATACCTCTGCAACTGGATCACAAAACAGTTAAACATGCAATGAAGAAATCAGACAACTGCTAATAAATGCTAGCAATTTATCTGGAAATATCTAGTTCTTTGCCTAAGTTAATTTTTACAGGGGAAATTACTTCTGAGAACCTAAGCCCAGGTAGCATATCAAAACTGGAATAGAAAATACACTTTCCAGGAAATTACTCTTTCCTACAGCAAGACTGAATTATGGGCTACATTTTTTCTTTATCTGAAATCCATTAGAAAATTGATGCATTTTGCAGAAGCTCAAGATGAATAGTAGAAATAATCTGAAAGCATCTTTCTTCTACTTGCCAAAAGCATTATATTGTACTATTCTTTTTAAAACAGGCCTAGAGGTTCATTCCTGTAAACCTTTTCAGCCTGGCTCTCATTCAGCTAGTTATGCAGTTGTAATAACAAGAAGCTCAGGGTTTGCCAACTGCTTGAGAATTTACTCAGTTTCTCTATTGGGCTTTTGCCTAAGCCAAAATTTGCATCACTGCAGCTACTATTGAAGTTAGCTCACGTACACCTACATGAATGATAGTCATTGCAGCATTTCTAGCATGCACAGCAATTTCCAATACACGTGGCATAGAGACCAAACACTTATTGATATATGACGGTTTACAGCTGCATGTCTCTTCATAATAAAACACATCACAAATTTGGAAAGCATTATTCAATGAGTTTGTGGTCCAAAAACTCCAGAAGAACCCAAGCTGGCAAAGTGAGCATTATTATTAAAAAAAAATTAAAAAAATCAGCTGTTTGTTGATATGCTTACTACTTGAAAAGATATATTATAGATGTGTTTCTTTTACCTACATGGTCCAGGGAGGAACATCAAAGTGGCTAGTAGGATCAGGCACTGTGTATTTCTGTGAACTCCTCTTTTGGAAACATAACTGGTAGTGTGTCAGTATGTAAGCTGTGAACAAAACAGAAGAGAGAGGAGGAATTATAAGAATAGATTGCAAATGCACAGCAATGACACAGACATATAAGCTGAATGTACTTGTGTGTATCAAGAGGAAACAAAAGCTGTTAATGCTTTCTGTGGCTGAATACCATTTTCCTTCAATATATTTATAAATTTATAGACAGCTGAAAATAGTAAGAACTCAAGGATCCACATACTGCATATATCTGGAAATAAGACAGTACTGACAACTTCAGTTACTCACAGTGCTACACAAGGGGCTAAGTATAATCATAATGTTTTCAGATGATTTTTCAAACACAGTGACCACATTGGAGTGAGGATAACTATTTGCCTGAGACAACACAAAAGAGTCTGCATCTGAGTGAGGAAGGGATCTTGGAAGATAGCACCTTCAGAGTTGCTATTCAGAGAGCTTCAGAGAGCTGCTGAGCTCACCTGGACTCCAGGGACCGCCCATTGCATAGGCAGAAATCAGTACATGGCTCTCCTTTTCTTCCCCAAATAATGCTGTCTCAAACTAACCAGTTTAGAAAGCTGTTTGGAATACTACTTTCCATTAAAAGAGTAGAAGAACAACAACAACAAAAGGAATCTGATTCCAAATATTATTTTCAGCTTAATTTAACATATTGTTGGTATCAAAAGTTGACACAAACAGAGGAAGCAAAAAACAAACAAACAAACAAAAAAACGAAGGGTGCTCCAAAAGTAATGCCTCCGATTTTATTATGTTGGACCATGATGTCAGAGATGGATCACTTCCAGTCAGGCCAGAAGAAGACAGCCTTTCTTGCAACAAGGTAATTCCAGGCCTGGTACCACTTTGAAAACTGTGAAATGCACTACCAATCTTGGCTGGATTGTTCTAGAACATACACTGTGCTGTGCAGATTTCACAACTTCTGACCTCCATCTGTTCAGACTGATGAAAGATGGACTGTGTGGACAACACTTTCCTAGCAATAATGCTGTTATAGCATTTTTTAAGCAAACAGTTGGTTTCCTCCACTGGCGTGCCAGGTAGGCTCATGTTGGTGAGAATGCATAGCTCATAATTATGACTATGCTGAAAAACAGTATTTTGTCACTAAGAATTTGCTGTATCAGCCTGTGTTATTGTGCTCTTTGTATACGTTGTAGTTTCCATGGAAATAAATAGGAGACATTACTTTCAGTGACCTATATAACAATAATTAAAACTTATACAACATATTTTCCTCCACAAAAAAATGTAAATTCCTGAAGTGAAGGAGAAGGATTAGCCACTTATTGCTGTGTTTCAATTAACTAGATATAATTAATGCCAAGTGGGACCACGTGCTGTTATTATCCCATTTATTACATGCTATTGCAGTTGAAGGCTTCAAAACCCCTCTGAATTGCTTAAACACAGAAGAATGATTCTGAATCTGCAGATGCTGCATGTGATTGCTCAGTGTTTCAGCCTTCAGTTCTTTTTTTTTTTTTTTCCAGTAAAAAACAACAGCAATTATAAGACTGAAGTTATTAACAAACAAGGCTGAGATCACTTTATAATTCATTTTCCGAAGAAAACAGGCATTTAGTCCAGTTTTTCTCACCAAAAGATGACATAAATACAGCTCTATATGCCACTGATCAAGAAGGTCTCTCTCTTTCCTATTTGGAAAGGAAGCAGATCAGATGAAAGACAGCTCAAAAGAAGGAACATATATTAACTGTATCACTAGCAGTGCCATTCAATTTTTAGCTGGAAGGAACTTGGATACATGTGGCAAACCCTTTTGTAGGAGCGCACTTTGATGCCCTGTTTGCTGAGTTCAAGATTTGGCTAACAAACATTAATTCCAGATACATTTCCTGAAGCAGCTAGGTTTTTCTGTTCCAAGCTGCAACTTGTTTCACTACTCCCACCAGAATAGGCAAGGGAACTAACTGTAGCACAAGGAAACATGTCTACACCTAAGGTCACCCAGCAGAAAACGGAAAACACTCAGACAGAGGCAAGAAGAAGCCAAGGAATTCATGCTCATCAGAAACCACCTCCCACCTGGAAAGCACTTTGACTCTGCAAAGCTATGGATAAACACTGTGAGAGGTCTCGTAGGAGAGCTTGACGTTTTAGCTATGAAAAGGTAAGCCCACACCTTTAAGATATAAGTTCTGGTTTTGGTCCCTCTCAGTTAAGAGATAACAGTTTCTGACAGTTAAATAAAGAATATTAATTTCCTTCTTGTCAAGTTATTTTCAGTCAAAAACTCATTATTCAATTAGCTTTTGAAGTTATTCTCAGTAAAGAAATTTAGTTCCAGAAATTTTTGGTCATTATTGCCAGTATTCAGATTTACTCCCTTAACCACATAGGTAGTGACTCAGCTTTAGAATTTACTGCTCTATTTTATAATTCCTCAAAAAAATCTTGTACTGTTGCTAAAGCCAGCTATGAAAGTAACAAACTCTTCTCACCATGAAAACCAATCAAAAACAGTTGGCCATTCAGCTTGTGAAGACAGTCAAAGCTCATCTGAAGGAATGATGTGAAAGTTGTATCCCCACACATCTGGTACAAAATACCAGGATAAAATCACAGAAGATGGCTAACTTATAGTATACATCTGGGAAACAGTGGCACTTTTTCTTTTATGCTGATATAGTTCACTAGTCCTCCTTTCCGAGAGACTTGTCCAAAGAAAAGAAAAACAAAACCCTTACGCCCTACTCCATCAACATGAATCCTGGACATACCAAATCCAACAACAGCCACTCTGAACTCAATAGTGATTTTCTATGATAGAAATTCAATTTAAGGGGTGCTTCTAAGCATTGGCCGATAAATTGTGATACCAGTCCTTGGGTGTGATTTGGGAGCTAGTACAACTAAGAAACTTGAGTTAGGATTCATGCACGGGGGCAATTATGAAGAAGAGATATCTGAGTTTTCCAGTATTACAAATACATCTGTGACTGACAGCTTAAAAGATGTCGCTATCTGCACAGGTGGACTCTCTCTATTCAAGTTCCAGATCTGAAGATCACACTTTACAATTCCTTCCTTTTATTCATGAGAAACATTATCTAACACAAGAAGTGCACCTTCAAGGCCTTTTGCTTTTAATTTATTTTTTATAAAACCTCACTTGAGACAAATATCAAAAAAGCCTTTAAATAAGAGAACTACTTCTGTTGAAAGCAGTACTGTGGATACAGTAATTTCTGTTATGTTTACTTTATAAAATGAATTGACATACATTGACTCTGCACTTTGAAATTGAATTCCTGTATTTATTCAGAAGTGTATTATGGAGTAAGTTTCTCACTGTTAGAAACAGATTGCATAGATACATAAAACCTTGTACATAATAAGGAATGAATTTCACATGAAATCATCACTGGGTACTTCATTATTTTTTTAACGAAACTTTGGGAAATTTTGTTTTAAAAAAAATGTACCTACACAGATACAAGGTACTTCATAGTTCAGTAGTGTAAAAGTAGTTTTATGGATATAATTTTGATGACTTTACAACATCAGAAGGAAAAGCATTATAAAATATTTGCCCTGCAGCTTCTATGTTCAATGGACTTTAAAGGCCAGAAAGTCTTTTGATTCTTTAGGCTTCAGGTATAGAAAAGTCTAAAAGCTGAAAGTATTTCTGCTTTGCACTTCTTCCACTGGATCTAATTAGATATATGTTAGAATCACTCTGGACAAGATTAAAGTAAGAGACTGAAAGTGCAATGTTTATAAACTCAAAGTAACAGCTCTGTGGTAACAGAGCTACAGAAATGCTACACTTAGATTAGGGTATAATTTGCTACTGGGAACTGTTTGTTGTTGCTTATTTTCACATTCCACACTGTGGAAACAACCTGTAAAATGATGTTTACTCCAGATAATGACTTCAGCATTTTATTGGCAAATCTGAGTGGCTATTTTGCAGATATTGTCAGCCTAAAAGTGCTCACGTCAGTTTACTTCACTTACAAAGTAACTAGTAAGTTCATTAGAGTGTCTGAAAATAATTAGTAGCACAAGCAGTTAGGAAAGAAGAAAACAGCTGGCAAAAATACTACGTAGAAGTGTACTTCAGTTTAACTACTCTTTATTACTTATATCTTCCACGTATCCAATATATAATCATGAAAGCTTTTTAAACCTGAGAAATTTACAATCCCTTAGATTTTTATTCCTCTTGGTGCTTACTAATAGCTGACCTCTAGCACCTCTGTTTTTTTAAGAAAACAAAGATTGTTTTTCTTTTAAAAGGTTTTTAAAATTTCATGTATAATTTTATATACACTATTGGATAATCATGACACCTATTACACAGCAGATCTAAACCTGGTTGGATGAATCCCATTTTCACTGTTCACTTTACACTATCATAAATTGTTACCCAGAATGACTGTATTTACAGTCTTTACAAATGACTTCACTCCTTAGTTTACAAATATTCTGATCCATCCTGCAATTTTGAATCAGCTTAGGCTCCCCTACATATATACCTACACACACATATACACACAGACATATATATATGTGAATGTATCCACGTAAAAAACACGTACCTTTTCTCATGGAAGGCAGCTTTATCTGAAAAAGATGTCCTGGGTAAACATATTGCTCTATTTCTTCCATGTAGAAACACTAGTAACAGCTATTCAAAGATTTTAAGGCATTCATTACTCCCTGACTAAATAACCTTTTTCTCCAATCACTGAAATTGAGACATTTCCCTCTCCTACAGAGTCAGTGTCACTGATTACCTCAAAAAGAAAAGAAGAAATTCTCAGGAAACATTAAAAATATCAATACTTGATAAAACATTTGGGTGTGACTTACGTACAGAAGTGCTTGATGTGCTCAATTTGAGAGCATAGGACAGCACTGTACTGAAATACTGAATGACCATGGAAGGCTGCTGAGTACACTGTGGGTAATGCAAGTGGGATTTCCTGACACTGGAAGGTCAGTAAGCCTCTCACTGGAAAGATGCTGTCTGGTC